TCACTCATCACTCTTCTCTGTCTGTCTGTCTGTTTGTCTCTCTCTCTCTCTCTCTTTCTCTCTTTCTCTCTGTCTATCTCTCTCATCTCTCGCTGTCTCTCTTCTCTATCTCTCTTGTCGGTTTTGCCGCTCGAGCGGCGAATCACACCATCCAGTACTTTTTCAGGCGACTGCAGAGATGCTGAGAGCTTCCAATCCCCGCTCGAGCGTCCCTTTCCCCGCTCGAGCGGGAAGGCCAAAACTAGAAAAACTGGAAAAATATAACATGATCGGACAGGCAACTTTGAATGCTTTTTTGCATTTTGCTTCGGGCCGCGAGCTGACCGGGCAGCTCGACCCCCGTAATAATCAGCGAAGTGGCAATCTTGAAAATATTTGCATCACAAACTTCTCTGAAAGGCTCAATTCGGGTTGGATTCGCATCTAAACACTCATAGCCTTACTGAATAAATGTGCGAAAATAAATACAACTGAAAGGAGTTTTGTCAAACGGGATTGCCAAGAATAAAACCTAACAGATGGAATAGTTAAAAAGTTATGACAATCTAATAGCCCAACCCAGTCAACTGACAGTGATGCTTTGGATTCACAAATTACTTTCGAAGGCAGGCTTCCTAGTAGTTTGTAGATAGACACTCCCTCTCATCTTTTTAACAGAGCAAATTTCATGCAGTGTTAATCTTACCATCTTTACAATGAGAATATACAAACAAAATCTTATAAAACAACTTTTTTGTGCCTCTCAAATTGATCGTGAACTGAACAAGTGAAATCCCCATATACATGAAAACCACAATCCAAAAGGGAACAAAAAGGACCAATCCCGTTTAATGAAATAACCAACGGCATTATTGTCAGCGTAAGTCAGAAAATGAGTTAGCCTGTCAACGTCACGAGCATGCTGCTTTAAGTGATTCATCAGTCTCGTGCCATAACCTTTTACTTGTTCATCTGCTGTGATTGCACAAAATGCTATCTCCCCAAACATTTGGCTAGAGCAATAAAAAGACTGTCAGTGGAGAAGCAAAATAGGCATCTTATATGGACAAAACAAATTAAGGAATATTGACAGGAATTCCAAATATTTTACATTTCTTCCTATATTAGTTATAAAAGATTAACAGACAACATAACAATCAGACTCCCAAATCCACCACAGCTTGAAATTGAATTAGTGCCATTGAGATCAAACCTCTGTCCCAACCTCTATATGCTATATGGGACCAAGAATTCACTTATTGAATGATTAGCATATTTATAGTGGCTAGGAGTAAGTACAATTAAGTAATAAATAGATAAATACATCCATGGAAGGCTGTCTGTCAGCAGGTACAGAAAGCTAACAACCAGACTTTTTTTTTTTTTTTTGGGGGGGGGGCAATTACAAATCAGGATAGTTGACCAAAGTAATTACAAATACATGGGGATGAAACTCTTTCCTGTGTAAAAGAACACAGCAAAAGTTGTACTCCACAAAGATTACCACCCGTCTGTAAATATTTGCCCCACCTCCCATGGATGGGTAATTTCCCCTTCTTTTTTTAACCCAAAAAATTTAAGACAAGTAATTACAAGCATGAAGCTGCAGGAAGTGCACAAACAAGTAGAATACCTAGTCCTAGTAATAGTAACCGACTAACACACATACACGTACACATTACCTCACATAAGGACGGTATGTTATGCCACCAACAACCTGATTACGTCTGATAACCATTACAGATTTATGGTTCCTGCATCAGAAACAATGGGAAAAGTATATAAGAATACTCTTAGTAATTAAAACATCACCAGACAACCACAGAGCCCGGAACGGCGTATATTAGTTGTAGAAAGCATCAAAATCCTGCTACCAGCCCTTATATAAAGAATCAGTTCAAATCCAGGGTATACATTGACCATTTTGAGACCTGAATTAATATGTTACAAATTGTGGAATTGAAACACTGACTGCATTTATGTGACTACATAGCAAATAAAATGACCATTTTGTGGCAGTATAAACCCCAGAAATTGGGCAGAGACTCAACAAATTAAACGCAAAATAAATTTTGATTTTAAATGTGTACACACGATACCTCGTAAAAGCAATCCAGAGGTCTATTACTTGGGAACATAGAAACACATTTTACATGACCATGGGGTAAAAGCAATCCAAATCTTGAAATAAATATAAATTGATTATGAAAGTATACATTTTGTAATTTAATAGATATATTTTGTAATTTAACAGATATATTTTATTATGCATAATTATTAATATATTTAAAATATAATTATGACATTATACATAAATTCAGTTCAATGATTGAACTACTAATCTTGCCCCAACTTCTTTTCAAGTTCACTTTAGTGATTTGGGTTTCAAAACTTTGCATACATGTCTTTAAGTTGTTAAAAAACAAAAAAAAATAGTATTCACCTCTTTATTCTAATAAGATTAGCCTGAGAATCCAAAAAATAGATACTCAGAATTTACCCAGAAAGAAGATCAACGGTGGAGATTGAATGAGTATATAATGAGATTCATATATATAATAAATCTCAATCACATGTAAATTCTGAATAAATTATGAATATAAAATTCTAGATTTGTAGCATAACATCCTCATTTTTAATTTTTAAAGAACTTTCTGTCATCCATCCACTCTACTCCATCTTTCGAAAACTTATTTCACTATCACCACTCTCAGCCCTACACTGTTGCCAACCGCCATTATCAACCCAGCCTCCCTCTTGCGAATCTCATTTTTCTGCAACCCTTCTCCGTGATGAATATCACTTCTCTAAACATAATTCAGTAGGTGAAGTGATACTTCCTAAAAGTTCAAGGGGATAAAATAAAACATTTCGCTAATTAAACATGCTCTGTTAATATCATTAAGGGATTTTACGATATAAATAATTTAAAAATTCAGTTTAAGATATCAAAGAGACACTTGACAATAATTTAGAAAGTACGTGTAAATATCACTTTACTTTTCTCAGTTTTCTTTGGTTACCCAGTGGGCCTTTAATTTTGTTAAATTCACATCCTAAAAGGGTAACAGCTCTTCCTTACACCTCTCAAGGTACCAAGAAGCTGGAAGTGCATTGAGAAATCAAAAATAGATAAATAAAGTACAATAAACAAAAGCGTGCCATCTGGCAAACCTAATCATCAAACTCAACACCACAGGCTACTCACCCTTAGAAAATTGGCTAAAAATAGATAAAAATAAAAAATAAAAGTTTACCATATGTAGCAAACCTAGTCATCAAAAACTCAACATCCATCCAATCCTAGAAGGCCAGAGGCTAGAAAGTTCTCATACAAACTCCTTGTGTGGAACTCACATTTGAAATCCGGCTCGTAAAGAGAAGGTGCCCAAGAGGCATTATATTCAGAAGGCCAAGCCCCTTTTGTTCCGATGTGGGATCGCAACAAGTTCATATTCTTTTTCATGTGTTGAAATCACAAAGGATTCATTCATTAGCTATGAGCAATGTTTTTATCAAAAAAAACAAACCATGTCAACACAACTCTGTACAACAGGGTTCCACCAGAAGTTTGAAAAGAAAGCCAACAAAACCATCTTTTAATCTCAATTGTCAGTAGCAGCCTGTTTGATAATGTATGTCAGTTACCTATAAAATCATAGATGTGCAGTGAATGGATCTAGTCATACCCATCCGACTCATGCTTAACAAATTTTAATGATCATTTCCATTCTAATCCAAGGACTGAAATTTGCAACCTTCAGTTACAGGCTTCGTCAATTCCAATTCACTACAGAAGAAATGTGTGGGAGCTTGAATGCCAATTTCTTTTTGCATAATGTCATTTCTGTTAGCAACAACATTTTCCATTAGAGTGATGGAAAGCCCAAATGCAATAAATAATGAAAAGACAAGTTGCTGTAAATCATAAACACACAGCTAATAACAAAAGAGAAAGTACCGGGTAACTTTTACTAAATCAATCCATTTTCCCTCTTTTTTTCTTTTTCTTCGGCAGATTTTATACCATAAAGTAGAATTATTCTTTTAGAATATGTTTATTAGCTTTCCTGATGAAGCAGAACTGTCATACACAGCCCTTCCCAAAGGTTTTAGAAATTCATCGCAGACATGTTGAGTTACGGATTCCATTTGCAAATGCTTACAGTCCAAAGACTCCAAACAAATGGGACTAGTGAATATGCTATAAAACAAAATACCTTTCTATTCACATTTTATTTGATTTTGGTGCTGCGCAAAAAAATCTTTCGCGTTACGTGCCACTTCTGCTTCCAAGATCGCTTCCAACATAATGTCAGACCCTTCGGCATTATCTGACACCAAAGTAACAGGTTATTTCTCTGTACAACAATGTGAATGCAAAAATGCAAGCACATGTACCATGCATAAAAAAATCCATCCATATGTATATAAGTTACCTGATGTATAAATAACATATGCACATACAGACACTGATCATGCAAACAAGCAATTACTGAAACAAATACTGCAAATGTATTAAGGTATGACATACTGTAGAATCATGAAAGTCTCATTACTATTGCAGCATAGATTGTACGTTACTGTAATGCCATATGTAACTGAGTAAGGCACACGAGCCCAGCCAATTCCTGAACTACTACTTACAGAATTTGATGGCTACTTCTTACAGAATTTGATGTAATTTCCCTATACTACTTTTTTAATTCCTTAGTAAGTTCTATTTGAGAGGATCAAGAAATTACTTTGATGAAAGCATTAACATTTGAGTTTCCAAGCATGAGAACATGGATTCAAGTCTGAAGGCAGTCACTTCGTGCAAATAATGCAGAAGACTAGGTCCACCCTTCTCAGCACCATGCAGTGGCAGGACCAACACTGGATAATAACCTTCATTCTACTTGAAAGACTGGAGGACTTGTCTTGAAGCATTTCCCATGTCCAGTTTCCAGATAACCAAAGACGTATAAGTCCAAGGATGGTGTCATAATCTAGGAAACTAAACTTCCCCAACCTTTACAGGACAGGCTATGGAGTTACTGAATCGAGTTAACTTCAGAGATGTCTGGCACTGTAAGATTAGAACAGTACAGTAGAGAATGCAATGCAGATGGTAAATTGGAGATCTTGTCGCCATTTGGCCACATTGAGTTTCAGCGGATTCTATTTGTGGTTTAATATGCAGCATCATGCCTAGAGACGGTGACCTCTTCATATATCCTCAAGAGACGAAGGCCACTACTACACGCGTAAATTTAGTTGTGTTTGTGATGTTCAATTTCTTCCCGCTTGCAAGCTCCACACAATTGTATGCATGCTTTGCTGTTGTATCAACCTTCTTTTTGATTTTTTTTGTTGGGGATTAGGGGTCTTGAGGCTCAAATTCATTTCAGCAAGAACATCTCCTATTTTCTATGAATAATTTGGGAGACTTCAGGGTATTTTTATCTTCAGAAATTCAACATTCCTTGTGCATACCCTACTAAAGGAATATGGAAACATTTCCAGAGGTATTATCACTCTAACATAAACAAGCTTTCAATGAGGTGGTGAGGATCCAAATCTTGTCAATTATTCGTAAGAAATTGCAAACTTCTTCTCAGGTGGTTTTCGTTAATGGACTATAATATCAATATTTGATGATGAGTGATAGTTGATTGATCCTTTTTATTCTTATGCGCTGGACAATAATATCAAATAAATTGTCTCTCAAACTAAAAACTAATTATGGTCAAATGATACAAGTGTTTATTGGTTTTGTAAAACAGTGATATTTGATGAACAAGAAAGAAATAGCACGAGTTACAAGTTGCAGAGTAATGAATTAAGTAAACTCCCACAAAACTATATATTCTGTGGAAATTTAGAACACGTGTTTGGTGCCACCACATAGTTGGTTCAAACGTCTAACTCAATATGGATAGTGATTGGGTGGCTTTACAGGGAGCAGGACTACTTTTCCTTCAGTGTAAAAATTGTTGAACTTGTAAAATAGCTTCAAGTTGAAATTGGGGTGAATGCTACTTTATATTTTTCTCAAGTCAAAATTTTAAGAGGTGTAATCAACTCACTTCTACAAAGGCTTCCCAATTTGTCCCAAATTGCAACATCCCTTGAGATTTAGAGTATCATGCAGTGTTGCTTCACTCATCTAAAGGTCTAGTAGCTTTCTAAACACTATAAATTTTCCATCCATCAAAAATCCTCTAAGTACCAAACTTTCATGTGATGTCACATTTCCAGCTTAAAGGAGACATTAAAGTGCTGCTACTCGTCAAAGAATATTTTAGCTCGTTTAAACGGGAAAAAAAGAAAAAGAAAAAGAAAAAAAGGAGACTTCAAAATGGTCCAACACCTTAAAAAATGACAAAATATGAGCCCTACTTGATCTCTTTCTAGATTTTTCGGTACATCACTTATAGAAACAATCGCAAGCATGAATTGCTTCAATTACGAGACACACAATTTCATAAATTCAGATATCTAACACATAAAAATTTATGAAATATCCTATTTTAAGAATCCCTGGTTAAACAAGACAGAACCTAACTAAACAATGACTAACAGTTAAACTAAACTAACCAAGAGGCAACGTGGTAAGTCAAAAACATGTGAAGCTAAATCTAATAAAAGGTTAGTACCCTTGCGATCTGGCAGTAATCCGGTGCTTTTGGCAGATACGGGATTCATCAGTTAGCTCATTAATAACTTCATTACTTTCCACTGACTCAGAGTTTATAGCTGTTGATTCAGCCAATTTCGCATAAGCTGTTGCTTGGCTGTGCATATCAGAAAATCCCGAGTTTGTTGAGCTATAATTCTGGGAGAAAACAAATAATAATAATAGTAAAAGAAGTTAAATCATTATTGGAATAAGAAAATTCTACATGAAAAGAATGTAATATGCAATGAATGGTGATTCTGCTTAATAAAACCTTAGCGTCTGGGGTGGTTGATCTGTTCGCTGTGTCAGGTTTTTCAGGTTCATTATTACCTGAAACCCATAAAAAGAATAATCAATTGTCCCAAATTCACATGAGAAAAACATAGCCATTCAATTTAGAAATTTAAAGATCTCAAACAAATAGGATACCACTAGCAGCAGATGTTTGGTCAAGATTGTCCACTAGCCTCCGAGTCAATGGACCAGGATTCATGAAAGAGACGGTTCGAATTTCATGACGTATGGCTTCTAGTTGAGCAATTGTATCTTGCAGTTCTTTGTGCACCTGGAAGTTAAAACCCAAGAGAGAGTTAGAGGGCACCATTGTTCCAATATTTTGCACCAAAAAAACATTTGTAACATCTAATTAATGAAACAAACAAACAAAGAACAATACTAATTCTGCAGTTAATGGATACCATAATTGGGAGAGAGAGAAAGAGAGAGAGACCTGGCGAGCTTGAGTTTGGTGCATGATAGTATCGAATTGGCCGCGAGCCAATTGAACGTATCCGATGGCACGGCCAGCTAACTTGCCGGCGGTTCTGGCTATAATTGGGAGATCCTTCGGACCTAATAATCAATCAAAACCCTAATTCGGTTCAAACATTTCATAATTTTGTATATACGTGTATATATGTATATGTGTGTGTGTGTGTGTGTGAGAGAGGAGTACCGATGAGAGCAGCAGTGGCTCCAAGTAAAAGGAAGAGTTCTCCGTATGAAATTCCAAGCATTTTGTGGATTCTTCTTTTTCTTCTCCGACGGTCGATGGAGACCCAACAAGGACTCCTCCGAGAACAGGAGCCGCAAGCAAGGAAGAAATACAATTGCTAATATTTTCGTTACACTTTAGGTGACAATTGGTAGCTTCTATTCCCACACAATTTTCTTTCTCCATACAATGGCCTTTTTGGAGAACAACGTTCGGCTAAAATAGTCGCCAACGCCTCGTTTCAACCGGCTATTTTAATAATTTTTTAATTTTTCTTAACAAAAATGTGTAAAAAAATAAAAAAACGTTTGGTTGTGTTTTGTAAATGTGATTTGAGAGTATGAGTTGTATTTTGAATTTGTGAGTTGTAGAATTATGATTTGAGTGTAGAAAATTTGTTTGGTTATGGTTTTTAAATAGAGTGTTGAATTGTGTTTTGAAAATGTATTTTGAATTAAGTTTTGAAAGTTTGATGTGACATGTGAAAGGTGAAAATTTGTTTGGTGATGTGTTTTGAAATAATTTTTTCATTTTAAAATAAACCGATGTCAATTTTTTTCTACCAATTAATTTTTCTATCGATATCCATATTTTTAATCAACAAAAATAACCAAACTATTTTTAAAATACTGAAATTAAAAATTGATTTTTTTTGTCAATTATTTTTTTTTAGTAATTTTTTTGAATAATTGTTGTTTCGAAATAAATTTTTCATTTTAAAATAAACCGATGTCAATTTTTTTCTGCCAATTAATTTTTCTATCAATATCCATATTTTTTATCAACAATAATAACCAAACTATTTTTAAAATACTGAAATTAAAAATTGATTTTTTTTGTCAATTATTTTTTTTTAGTAATTTTTTTGAATAATTGTTGTTTCGAAATAATTTTTTCATTTTAAAATAAACCAATGTCAATTTTTTTCTGCCAATTAATTTTTCTATCGATATCCATATTTTTTATCAACAATAATAACCAAACTATTTTTAAAAATAATATCATATTAGCAACCTAATTATGAGAAAGAATATCCTACTAGGAACCTAACTATGGCCATTCCTAAATATATCTAAGAAATCAATACCTAATAAATCTAGGAATACCACATATACATTAACATCCTCTTCGAACTCAAAGAGGATAAACATTTTGAACTTGGAGAGAGAAACTAAAACATGAAATAAAACAAAATAAAACAAAAGGTAAATAGATTGCAAAATTCGAACAGGAGCACAATGGGCGCTTGAAATAGATCAGAGACCAGAACTAAAGTCGGGAAACAATTTATGGTCATGTCGGACCATTGTAAGAACTGACTGAAACTAATGCCAGGACAATTTAAGGTCGTGCCAGACCAATATAAAAACTAGCTGGAACTAACGCCGAGAGACAGTTTAAAGAAGTCATGCCGGACCGATGTAGGAGCTAACCGGAATCAATGTCGGGACAGTTTGAAGGGGTCATGCCAAACCGATGTAGGGGCTAACCGGAATCAATGTTAGAACAATTTAAAGGGGTCATGCCGGACTGATGCAGAGACAGTTTAAAGGGGTTATACCAGATCGATATAGAGAACTGGATGTTGAACCAGCAAACATGGCACCCACATAACTAATGATGTGGCGCTGAACGATGATGGCATGCGCTAGGGGGCGACTTTGGTGATGCGCCAAGTAGACGGCTTAAAGAGTGCGGCAAAAGGAGACGACTTAGGTAATGCGCCAATGGGGCGGTTTAGAGAGTGCGCCAAAAGAGACAACTTATGGAGTGCACCAAGGAAACGGCTTAGATGGTGCACCAATGAGACGACTTAGTGGTGGCTTGGGGCTTAGGTGGTTCACATAGTATATCACCATGCTCACCGTGATATAGGTATAATATCCCCCCTCAAACTCAAATAGGTGTAAAGATAGATACCTATTTGAGGTTGAAATAGAGGGAAAGATAGAGTGAAGCAGAAACACAAAAATATATATATATATATATATGATAGAGATATTTAGAGTAGGAATAAACCAACGGATAAAAGAAGAGATCACCATGAAGCCATATTGACAAGAAAATATGACAGCGGAATAGGTTGAGCTCCAGTGGGCTACCAAAGCAAGGCTGCCGCCTGCCGGTAAGGCGAAAACACCAAGAGCTTAACCTATAGCTCTGATACCATGTTAGAATAGTAGAGAGAGAGAGAGAGAGAGAAAATAACATGTATTATATTGAATGAATTATATTGAATGTATTTTATACAATAGAAGGCCTGTATATATAGGTTAAGAAAGAGTATGCTACTAGGAACTTAACTATGAGAAAGAATATCCTACTAGGAACCTAACTATGGCCATTCCTAAATATATCTAGGAAATCAATACCTAATATATTTAGGAATACCACATATACATTAACAACTTCAACGTTAACCTCAAACTAATATTAAATTCACGATTTCTTATACTTTTCATTAAATTAAAGATGCTTGGAGTATTTTATCAAATTATTATAGATAGTCATAGGGACAATACACTAGACACCTGATCGGTTCCTTACTTTATACTTCTGGTAACTTTGGTAACTTTATTCTAATAAGTTGATCGGTTGGATATCCTTTCGGTTGACTGGTGATTTGATGAAAAATAAAGATTCTTATTTAAAACGCTTGACATTAGATGAATTTTTTATTCAAATTTAATGAAAAAAAATGTAAATATTGGAGACGCTCTTAGTGGGGGTGTTTGGTGTAGCTTTTTTGGCCAAAAATTATTTTGGATTGTTTGGTTAAATTTATTTCAAATATCTTTTGATTCTAATAATTTATTTTAATTAAAAAAAACTAATTCTGATAAGATGTTCATCCATTATCAACTTCTAATTAAAGCAACTTATTTATGATTATGCTTTTAGATTTTTTTTTTTTTAATAGAACAAGACCTAAATAGACTTTGGATTAGTTTTTTTTTATTATTTAATTTTTTTATAGGAAATGTAGACTATTAGTTAATAACAAAAAATAAAAATTAATTTAATTTACAATTAAGAAAAGTTAATTTAATTTATAAATAACGGGGGTAAAAAGGACATTTATACATAAAAAAGTTGTTTCACAACTTATTTATCAAATACTACTCAGCAACTTAAATCTACAATCTAACAATTCCACCGAATAAATTAACAACTTCTAATTAAAATTATAATCGTTAATCAATTAAATCATAATTTATAATCGATTTTAATAGGTATACCAAAAGCCCAATGAAGGGTCCGTGATAGGGGTGCAACTTGGTTGGGTTCGGAGATTGTCCAACCCTAGTCCAAGTTGTGCTGAGACCTATCCAGGCCCGAATTGTAACCCGAGGTTGCCTGCCAAAGCTCGACCTAAGTTAAACCCGAATTGCAAATGAATTTTAATTTTTTGACTTTAATTATTTATTATTTTTTTTTTTTTTTTCAGTTACATTATTAAATTATTAAAATTTGACTCTATTTACATTTTTTTATAAAGAAAATCATTAATAACATCCAAACAAATAATTTATATAATGTAAGAGAGATGCTGCTATACTAATCTTTACAATTTATGAGTGAAAATAAAATAAAAAAAAGAGTAAGATTTTATGCTATTTGTATATATAATATATATTCAATATAATTTAATAACTTAAATTACTTTAATATCATGTAATGGTTAATAATTTATATGTATATTGGATATTTTTATATATCTATATATGTATAATTCGAGATTCGGGTTGCTCAGGTTATTTGACATCTTTACCCAAACCTATCCAAATTTAATTCGGACTTCTGAATTTTTGCCCAAGCCTGTACCGAATTTGAAAATATCTTGTCTAAGTACTAAAAAAATTCGAACTAGGTTTGGGTTGCTCGGGTTAAGCCCGTCTAAATTACACCCCTAGTCCGTGATTGTTATTAATTGTAGGGTTGTAAAAAAAACTAAATTCTAACTTGTAATTTGAATTGTTAAAAATTGTTTGATATCCTCGAAATAAATTAAATTTGAATATATACATATTTTAAAATTATAAGAAAGTTGTTTTAAATTAGTAAAAAATGAATACGTTTAGTTAAATTTTAATTTGTTTTTGGAAATTAATTTTAAAATTTTACAAATTATTTCTATTCAAAAAAAAAACTCATAAAAAAAAAAGGAAAATTACAATCACTTTATAGCGATCCCAGATTTACCCTTGTTGTATAGTGATCCGGACATGTGTCCGTGGATGTTGGTAGTTGATCATTATCTTGTTTACATCCTTTCTTACTTTGTATTTGAGTTATAGGATGTGTTGGGCAGGTTTGTTACAGGTTGGTTGAGTTTAGAAACCAAAACTAGTTGCCCAGATTTTGACCTGTCCGCTCGAGCGGGGGTTTTGGCGCTCGAGCGGGAATTACACCCATCCATTATTTTCCCGTGCAGTGTTGGACGCTCGAGCGTGGGGTTGGCCACTCGAGCGGGGTTGTGTGAGTGCCGCTCGAGCGGGGAGTTGGAAGCTCGAGCGAAGACCTGGTTCTATAAAAGTTCTGGGAGTGTGTATCCGCCGCTCGAGCGGGATTGTTGACGCTCGAGTGGGAGTCTGTGAGTGCCGCTCGAGCGGGGAGTTTGACGCTCGAGCGGGGCGACTTTTATATAAACCCGAGATCCGACTTTTGGATCACTTTTTCAAGATCTTTTCTCTCTCTTACTTTTCCAAAAAGTCATTTTCAGAGCTTCTCACTCTAAAACCGGTCCTTCTCTCTTAGATTTGATCTAGTAGGAGTTGTTTGCTCACTTTTGGTCTTTACGAAAGTTGTGTTGATCATCGAGGGCTACATTTTAATCTAAAAATTTCAGAATTTGAAGCATTTTGGTTTTGGTCTTCATCTCCATTGGAGCTCAAACTTTGAGGTAGGGATATCCTACTCCTATCAAACAGGTGAATTTTTTACCAATTTTTTTTTTTATTATTAAGTTTTAGCTAAATGAAATGTAACCAAATAACTAAACTATTTTTGACTTAAATAATAAAAAATAGATTTTTTTAATGTTTCCAAAACAAATTCTTATATCAATATGTGTGTCATCATATGTTCTCAATGGTACAATAGCTACACATAATAATAAACGTTTTATAATACATAAATTTAGTTCTACCGTTATGATTATCCTTAAACTCTAGACGACGTAACTATGGCCAATAATGA